AAAAGAATATAATGATGTTTTATTTAAAAAAAATATAATGTGATTTGAGATTTTGCAAAGGAAAGTGAGAAGTGAAAAAAATTGATTGGTAAGAACATTATAGATAACAAGAATTATTTTAAAGATGATAATATTTTACATCATTTTATATGAATATTGGAAAAAAATAAGAATTATAATCATGTTCATTAAAAATCATTTGAATCAAATGAAATTCATAGTTTTTAATAGTGTGAGAATACAAATTCATATGTTCAAGGTATTGTGTGATTTTTGCATAATTTACTGTTTTCATTTATAAAATTCATATATTTTCATTTTAATTTTATTTGTATGAACTTAAAAATTGATTTTAGTATTGATATAGTTGTAGAGTGTTTGGTAGTGGTGATATATGGCCATATGTTTAATAAAGTTCATTTAATTGATTATTTACCAAATATAAATATAAATGAAAAATTAAAATTATATGGTGAGAGATGAATGAAGTAAAAAAAAACTTCAAATATAAAAATATTAATAAACAAAAAAGGCTAGGTCACATACCAAAACACCATTTTACCAATCTGGTTGTATCTACTAAACAAAATAATGAAAATAAATAGCCTTGTTTTGTTTCCCAGTAACAATATCATAACGAAATTTTTTGAAGCAATCATTGCCTTTTTAAGTAAAGATATACCATGGTATCCGTGAATACCGTGAATACCGCGGTATCCGGTTAATATCTGTGGTATCCGAAATTCATGCCGATCATTTTATGAATACCGAATACCGTGAATACAAACACTACTCATATCAAAGCATCTCTTTCCTTCTCCCATAGTACCATCCACAAAAAAAGATGTCTTCTTTGTAACAAATATAAGTGCTTTTATTCAAGAGGAGAAGTTTGTCAGCAACACTTGTGGAATGTTTGTGGACGGAATATTCAAATACCTTGTTGTGGATTGCATGACTGTCCAGCAATAACTCCACATTCAAATTTATCTAGCATCTCAGAAAATATGCAACATGTTAGATATATTTGCACTGATTGCTTGACATCACACAGCAGACATCTTCATGCCAGACCAGGTTCTGGGAAAAGATCAGTTTCTTGTGTGCAAAGTGAAAAGCATCATGAAGATTCTACATCTTCTTTAAAACTTATTGCTAAATTTATTAATAACATTGCATTATCAACTGATAATAATGCAAAAAATAATCTATTGAACCTTTTAATCAATGCTATTAAAGATTTCAATAAAATACCTTCAGAAACAACATCATTGAATTCTGCAGTAACAACATCTTCTAACAACCAAATGATTCCAAGTTTTTTTAATAAACTTAGTCTTTAGAACTATTTAGGACTATCAGAGGGAATTCAATTAGACAAATAAAATCAAAATTATTTCAGACATTCCCAAATTTAGGACAAATTAACAATGATGCATCAGTTAGTCAAATATTAGAAGTAATTATATTTTATTAAATTCTGTATAATATAATGGTTTTCTAAAGACTAAATTACTAATATAAAATTTTTAAATTGATAGTGGAAGGGTCAAGACTCAACAAAAATAGTCCTTGAATCTTTATGTCAAGTTGAAGAAGATGATAATAGAACATTTTTGGAAAATATTATGAAAGATGCTTTTTCTGGTGACTGAGGAAAATTAAGTGGTAATAATAAAAGTTTTGTATGGGGAGTTATAAATGCATTCCTCAGTGAGGAAAATGACTCTTTGCACTTGGATGAATCAGTTATTAAGCCATTAATGTTAAAATATGAGGTAATTTTTTGGAAAGAAAAAAATTTGACATGAAAATTTTTAAAAACCTACATATTAACATATTATGAGATTTTCAGATATG